CGCGGTTCGTGGGTTCGTGCCCCGCGTCGGGCTCTGTGCTGACTGCCAGCTCAGAGCCTGGAGCCTGTTTCAGTCTGTGACTCTCTCTCTCTCTGACCCTCCCCTGCTCACGCTGTCTCTCTCTCTCTCCTAGAAATAAATAAAATATTTTAAAAAAAGAAAAAAATGCAACCGATTTCTGTACGTTGATTTTGAACCCTGCAACTTTGCTGAATTCATGGATCATTTCTAGTAGGCTTATGGTGGAGTCTATCGGGTTTTCTTTTTTCATTTTTCAAAATAATTTTTTACTTATTTCTGAGAGAGAGATAGCATGAGCAGGGGAGAGTCAGAGAGAGAGGGTGACACAGAATCTGAAACAAGTTCCAGGCTCTGAGCCAGCTGTCAGCACAGAGCCTAATGTGGGTCTCGAACTGTGAGATCATGACCTGAGCTGAAGTCTGATGCTTAACTGACTGAGCCACCCAGGTGCCCCTGGTTTTCCATGTACAGTACCATGGTGTCTGGAAAAAGTGAAAGTTTGACTTTTTCTTTGACAATTCTGATACCTCGTATTTCCTTTTGTGGTCTGATTGCTGATGCTAGAATTTCCAGCACTATGTTAAGCAACAGTGGTGAGAGTGGACATCCCTGTCCTGTTCCTGATTTCAGGGGGAAAGCTCTTAGTTTTTCCCCATTGAAGATGATGTTAGTGGAGGGTTTCTCATAAATGGCTTTTATGATGTTTAAGTAAGTTCCTTCTATCCCGAATTTCTTGAGGGTTTTATTAATAAGCGATGCTGTATTTTGTCAAATGCTTTTTCTGCATCTATCGACAGGATCATATGGTTTTTATCTTTTCTTTTGTTAATATGATGTGTCACATTGATTGATTTGCAAATATTGAACCAGCCCTATAACCCAGGAATGAATCCCACTTGATCATAGTGGATAATTTTTTTTATGTCCTGTTGAATTCAATTTGCAAGTATCTTTTTGAGGATTTTTGCATCTGTATTCATCAAGGATATTGGCCTGTAGTTCTCTTTTTTTACTGGGTTCTGTCTGGCTTGGGAATCAAAGTGATGCTGGCTTCATAGGATGAGTCCAGAGGTTTTCCTTTGATTTCTATTTTTGGAATAGCTTGAGAAGAATGGCTATTAACTCTGTTTTACCTGGTTCTGGGCTCTTATTTGTTGGGAGATTTTTGATAACTGATTCAATTTCTTCACTAGTTACGGGTCTGTTCAGATTTTCTATCTCTTGCTGTGTGAATTTTGGTAGTGAGTGTGTGTTTAGGAATATGTCCATTTCTTCTAAGTTGTCTAGTTTGTTGGCATATAATTTGTCATAGTATTCCCTGATAATTGCTTGTATTTCTGAGGGTTTGGTTGTAATAAGTCCATTTTCATTCATTATTTTGTCTATTTGGGTGCTCTCTCTTTTCTTTTTGAGAAGCCTGGCTAGAGGTTTGTCAATTTTGTTTATTTTTTCAAAAAACCAACTCTTGGTTTCATTGATCTGTTCAACTGTTTTTATGGTTTCTATATTGTTTATTTCTGCCCTTATTTTATTATTTCCCTTCTCTCCTACTTGGTTTGGGGAGTTCTTGTTACTGTCCTTCTAGTTCCTTTAGGTGCACTGTTAGATTTTGTACTTGCCCTTTTTCTAATTTCTTGAAATAGGCCTGGAGTGCAATGTACTTTCCTCTTAGTACTGTTTTTGCCACATCCCATAGAGTTTGGATCGTTGTATTTTCATTTTCATTTGTTTCCATATATTTTTAAATTTCTTCTCCAATTGCCTGATTGGCCCATTCATTCTTTAGTAAGGTGTTCTTTAACCTCCATGTTTTTGGAGGTTTTCCAGACTTTTTCTTGTGGTTGATTTCAAGTTTCATAGCATTGTGATCTGAAAGTGTGCATGATGTGATCTCAATTCTTTTATATTTATTGAGGGCTGCTTTATGACCCAGTATGTGATCTGTCTTGGAGAATATGCCATGCACACTTGAAAAGAAAGTGAATTCCATGTCCTCAGAATGTAGAGTTCTAAATATATCTGTCAAATCCATCTGGTCCCATGTGTCGTTCAGGTCCATTGTTTCTTTAGTGATTTTTCTGTCTAGTTGATCTATCCATTGCTGTAAGCAGAGTATTAAAGTCCCCTGCTATTAGCACATTCTTGGCCATAAGATTGTTTCTGTTTGTGATTAATTGTTTTATGTATTTGGATACTCCCATATTGGCGCATAGATATTTATAATTGTTAGCTCTTCCTGATGGGTAGACCCTGTAATTATTATATAATGCCCTTCTTCATCTCTTGTTACTGCCTTTACTTTAAAGTCCAGTTTGTCTGATATAAATATAGCTACTCCAGCTTTCTTTTGACTTGCAGTAGCATGATATATATTTCTCCATCCCATTACTTTCAATCTGAAGATGTCCTCAGGTCTAAAATGAGTCTCTTGTAGACAGAAAATAGATGGATTTTGTTTTTTTATCCATGCTGCTACCCTATGTCTTTTGATTGGAGCATTTAGTCCATTTAATTCAGTGTTATTACTGAAAAATATGGGTTTAGAGTCTTTGTGTTCTCTATAGGATTCATGCTTGTGGTGGTGTCTCTGATACCTTGTGTTCCTTGCAACATTTCTCTCATAGCATCCCCCTCAGGATATCCTGTAGGGCTGGATTAGTAGTGATGAATTCTTTCAATTTTTGTTTATTTCGAAAGACTTTTATCTCTCCTTCTATTCTCAAAGGCAGGCTTGCTGGATAGAGGATTCTTGCCTGGATATGTTTTTGTTCATCACATTGAAGATTTCCTGCCATTCCTTTCTGGCCTGCCAAGTTTCAGTTGGTAGGTCTGTAACCACTCTGATGGGTTTCCCTTTGTATGTTAGGGTCCTTTTCTCCCTAGTTGTTTTCAGAATTCTCTCCTTGTCCTTATATTTGCCAGTTTCACTATGATATGCCGTGCAGAGATCGATTGAAGTTACATCTGAGGGGAGTTCTCTGTGCCTCTTGGATTTCAATGTCTGTTTCCTTCCCCAGATTGGGGACGTTTTTATCTATAATTTGTTCAAGGACTCCTTCAGCGCCCCTCCCTCTCTCCTCCTCTTCTGGAATTCCTATGATACAGATATTGTTCCATTTGATTGTATCACTCAGCTCTCAAACTGTCCTTTTGTGTTCCTGGATCAGTTTATCTCTCTTTTTCTCGCCTTCTTCTGTTTCTATAATTGTGTCTTCTAACTCACCGATTCTCTCTGCCTCTTCAGTCTGTGCATTGGATGCCTCCATTTTATTGTGCACCGCATTTATAGCATTTTTAAATTCATCACAACTATTTTTAAGCTCCATAATCTTTGTAGCAATAGTTTCTCTGACGTCTTCCATGACATTTTCAAGCCCAGTGATTAATTTTATGATATTGTTCTAAATTTTTGTTCAGTTATGTTGCTTATATCCGTTTTGAGCAGTTCTTTAGCTGTCATTTCTTCCTGCAATTTCTTTGGAGGAGAGTTCTTCCGTGTCATCATTTTGGCTAGCTTTCTGTCTCTTATTAGTTTTAAAAGCTTGTTATGCACACTGCACCTGCAAGTACCTCTGTATTAAAGAAGGCTCTTTGACTGTCCAGGGCCTGTCTGTTCAGGAAGTGTTCTTTGAATGGTGTCTCTTGGTCTCTCTTGTTGAGACTTTGGTTATCTTATTTCCCTATTCGTATTGGTATTTGGGACTCTCCACCATGTGTACTTTGGCTCATTTCTTGAGGTAGCCCTATAAGGTTTTTCTTTTTTTTTTCCTTTCTCAGCAGACTCTGTGTCCTCTTCCTCCCAAACTCCTGCTGTTCTGTAAGGGTTCCTGTGGCTCCAGGTCTTCTCCGTTTGAGAGATGGGGGCAAGTGAGATGTATGGAGCTCTCTACTTCTCCACCATCTTGCCCCTCTATCTTGGATTTTGTTTGTTTTATTCACTATAAAACTTTCTTTAAGGTACTTATGTGTGCAATAAAATATAACCATTAGGTTGTCAGTACTTGAGCACTACTATAGGAGACCCCGAGAATTTTAAAATGAGAGAACATTTTTGCACTGGAGTTGAGCTGCAGATGAAACACCATGGGTCAGTCACAGACATGTCAGGTCCCTTAAAGGATACAGAATAACTGCCAGGCCATGTGATAAGGCTTATTCTGCTGTTACCTAAAAATGTAGGGTTGCTGCCATAAGGGTTAGAGACAAATGCTCAATTATCCATGGTATGGCTCAACTTGGCTATCATATATCACAATAAAGAAGGAATTGGGGGGGGGGAATTCTTCTGAGAGTTAACCATAATAACAGTTGCCAAGATTTGAAATTTTTATAAGCTCTCAGTGAGTGAGATGCTTTTGTTTATTTACTTTTTTAAAGATTTTCCTCTGTGCATAATAGGTAGAAGAAGGAGCAGTTACCTGGGTCCCAGTTGAGAAAGTTTAATGGCTTGTGATCTGACCATTCCCAACCTCTAGTAGAGTATAGTTGATTTAAGCCAATCCAGAAAATTCTTGGAATGCCTTCTTTTTCTGTAAGAATCACATAATTTTAACAAGTGGCAAGATTACCTAAATTATTATGTAAGTCAGATTTAAGTTTCTACTAATAGCAAAAATATCTGAAGCCCATGATTGTGAGGCAGGAATCCTGCAGAGGTGTTTATCCAACAAAGGCAGGTGATGCTAAAGGCTGATAAGTTAAATCAATTCTGCATTCCCATTAGCCTCTCCCTTTCTTCTAAGGTAAGAACAAAATCTCAGCTGTTCCACTATTTTTAATTCTCTTTTACTAATACAGCATAAAAACAGTTTCCATCGTATGTCTCAATTTTGAAGAACTGATTATATTCCAGACTGACAGTTTAAATGCATTAAGCACATATTATTTAACTGGTACTAAGGATATAAAAATCTAAAATACAAAGTTTCTACCCCCATGAGAATTTCAATTTAGTAGAAAGGAAGAGATATGGATCCCTCAAAAGGTCAAGTGTTACCCATACTGTTTCAGAAATATGTACAGGGATTGTTTGGTAGGGAATGGAATATGTAGTTTTAGAGTCCAAGGAGACATTTAGGATGAAGACACAGAACAGGACACACACACACACACACACACACACACTACAGTGGAGATGTATCATTCAAATTCATTATTTGACAATCAGAAGCCATCAGCAAAAAAGAGAAAGAGAAGCAGAGATAATTTAAATAGTGATGCCAGTTGTAAATTTGCCACTCAATATGCATATGCCCACAAACATATGGTAAACTAAATGAAAAGATTATAAGGATTTTTATGCCAGTATCAAGAAAGTCAACAAAATTATTCAATAACCTGGTAAGACTTTATTAACATCATGAAAAAGGAATTTGAAGATACTGAGGGGCAGGTAGAAGAAAAAGAAGAACTGATGAAATGGCCTATAGAAAACAAGGATGCTGCTGACAAATAGGAAGAGCTAATAGGTTGGAATTTCTATAAATTTGTAGAAATAGTCTCAGCAGTAAAACACTTGATAACAGTTTCTTACTTCCTCTCAAGGAATTATGTATGATACATTATTATATTATATGTATGATCTATCTATATATGTATATTTGAAATATATTTATAACTATAATATTTATAAAATATTAATTTAATATAAAATTTATAAATTATAAATTTAAATTCTATTTAAATTTAATTAAAATGAAAAATCGTAATAATTTATAAAATAATTAAAGGTATATTAATATTATTATATTTTATATTATTTATATGTATATTATATACATAAAATGGTTCTTAATACATGGATATGCTTTCTTTTCCTTTTTTTTTGTGAGAGAATGTGAGCAGGAGAAGGGAACAGGGAGAAGAAGAGAGAGAATCTTAAGCAGGCCCTAGCATGGAGCCATGATGTGGGGCTTGATTTCATGATGGTGAGGTTATGACTTGTGCCAAAATCAAGAGTTGGGTGCCTAACAAAATGAGCCACCCAGGTGTCCCAATATGGATTTCTACATGCAAATCAAACAGATATACCTCATATATATCATTTTGTTCCATTACATATATCAGATATATCTGTATGATTTGCATATAGAAAAGCATATCCATACTTTAAGGGCTTTTTGAGAGAATTTTGACTGACTACACAGTTTTTGCCTTACTGCAGACTTTAGAATGTGAATGCCTAAAACATTTGACTCCGCTAGAACTGACATTCAGGAAGTGGAAAAGCTCCTCTGTGTAGAGTAGAAATAGCAAAGATGAAAGGGGCCAAGAGCAGGAACCCAGACACCAACATTAAACAAATGAGCAAGAGTCTGGAAAGAGGGTAGTAAGGACAAAGGCCCAATTACCACTCCACTGAGTAGCAGATGTGAAGTTAGCAGTGAGTTGCAAAGATACACTGTGTCTTCCAGGAACTCGTTTGTGGAAGAGGCAGGTCTTCAGGATCTAGAAGAAAGATACACCTGTATCCGTATCTGTATATGTATCTATATCTGTATTTTTATCCTGTATCTATATAGATACATAGATAGATAGATATCTATATCTGTATCTAAATCTATATCTGTATCTACATCTGTATCTGTATCTATATCTTTATTTGTATCTGTATCCTGTATCTATATCTGCATCTGTATCTATATCTGTATCTGTATCTAAATCTATATCTGTATCTACATCTTTATTTGTATTACATCTATATCTGTATCTACATCTGTATCTGTATCTATATCTATATCCCGTGTCTATATCTATATTTGTATCTACATCTCTATCTGTATTTGTATTTGTATCTATATCTGTATCTGTTTCTGTATCTATATCTATACTGTATTTATTTCTATATCTGTATCTACATCTATCTATCTATAGTTTTTAATGGTAGAAGTTTCAATAAGTTTATGGCCTGTTGGGAGAAGAGTCAGTGGAAGTGAGAGTCAATGAAAATATAAGAGAAAGAACAGCTGGTGTGGATGCAAACAGCTTTCAAAAAGGCATTAACCTTGAACAAACTGGAGGGATGACAGATACAGATAGGATTGTAAGTACAAGGATGGGAAACTAATGGTTTGCTTCACTTTTCTCAAGGAAGTAGATGGTAAGGATACTCCATAAAGAAGGAAAAGGTAAGTATTTGGGTAGATGGCTTGAGGAGAATACTGAAGGGAAATTTGGATTCCTTCTTTTCTTTCACCTTATTAGCATAAGCACTGGCATACAAATTGAGGATTTAATCTAATGGAAATTTCTCATTATGAAAAGCAATTAGTTTTCTAGCCTTCCTAAAGAAGTCCTGGAAACCAAGACATATTTATGGAACTCCAGACTCAACCACACAGGGCATTCCAATTTCCCTTTTTAAATTTTTAATGGAGATACTATGGAGGACCAATCCTTCCCATCCATCCCAAGTTCAATGTACTTCCTTCCATGAAGACTTTTCAGCTATCCCCAGCAGGATATCTGAATAATCGTGTGCTTACCTGCACATGGGAAGTACATATTTATGAAAAAACAAAATGAACTTTGGAAGCTGATAAGTTCCTAATTTGTTTAATTACACTGTCCTATTTGTTTGCTGTATTGGTGGCTTATTCCTCAATAGAATCGTAGGATTTTAAAATTGTGACTTTGTTGCCAAATAGGAATGTTCTTACCTGCACATGGGAAGTACATATTTATGAAAAAACAAAATGAACTTTGGAAGCTGATAAGTTCCTAATTTGCTTAATTACACTGTCCTGTTTGTTTGCTGTATTGGTGACTTATTCTTCAATAGAATTGTAGGATTTTAAAATTGTAACTTTGTTGACAAATAGGAATGTTTTTTATGAGTTTTATGCCAGGTGAATATGAATGGGGAATAGATTCTAAAAATTTGGGTTGGTCATATATGAAAGGCAGGTATTTCTTTTATGGTTTGGACAATCTGAAGCTAGACTTTTTTCTCCATACTATCCAAGCAGGAAACTGAACAATTTGAGACTTTGCTCACCCCAATCTTTGCCATCGAGAAACTGATAATTGCTAGCATAAATCCCTATACCTAATCAAATCAAACAGGTGAGTTCACTGAAGTCAATATCTGTCACTGTCCTTAAAACTTGTTCAGACCTGACCTTCTATTTCTCTTCCTCACCCCATAAGGGGAACTATAGGTGTAATAATGGCAATGCATATGGAAAGAGCCAGAGAAGAACCTCTTCTAATATTATAAGAAAGGCCAAACTAGCAAGGGGTCCTGATGTAGAAGTAGCCTAGCCTTGGGGCACCTGTTGAGGCCTCTCAAAGAGAACAACCTCTCAGGGTGAAGACAAATGAGGAAGAATGGACTGTTGGGTCTTCTTTTGTAACTCTGGGATGTATCTGTAATTAGAGGGTCCCTGAAGTTTCTGGAAGGCCAGAGCCATGGGAAATCTAATTCTGAAACAAAATCCAGTGAGCATAAGGAAACCAAATCCCCCACCCCTAAAGCCTGTGTATTAGTAAAACAAAACCAAAACAAAACTAAGTGCAGGGCAAGCAGAAAGGAAACAGAAAGCTCTTTTAGATTTCATGGGACTTATTTTCAAAAGGCTGTTTCTGCTTTTTTTCTGGCAGTAGATTCCCTAGTATACCACTAGCTACCAAACTAGAAATCATTTGGGAATAACATTCTCCATTATGCTATGAATATGTACAACTCATTTCCCCAACTAGATCAAGCACTTGGATCACAAAATCTCTGATTCACTTTTGTTGGCCTCACCCTCCTAGACTAATGTTTATACATGGTGGTTTTCAGTGAAGAGAGAAACTTCAAGAAACTTTGAAGATTTGGATACTGTGAGTTTCAGATGTTAAAGTACAGCTTGAGTCTTGGGAAACCAGCAATTATAATTAGGTTATAATAATTATGTTATGCTTAAACAGCATTCACAGTGAAAAGAAGTTTGGAACATTAGAAAGAGTTATCTCTATTTTTTTTTAATGTTTTTTTTTTCTTTTATTTCTAGGAGAGAGAGAGAGAGAGAGACAGCGTGAGCAGGGGAGGGTCAGAGAGAGAGGGAGTCACAGACTGAAACAGGCTCCAGGCTCTGAGCTGGCAGTCAGCACAGAGCCCGACGCGGGGCTCGAACCCACGAACCGCGAGATCATGACCTAAGCGAAAGTCAGATGCTTAACCGACTAAGCCACCCAGGTGCCCCAGAAAGGGTTATCTCTAAAATTATTGATATATATACAAATTAATGTGGGAAGAGTCTAGCCTAGAAAACAGCAGGGTTATTTAATGTGCTATCTCACTTCTATGAGCTATTACATAAAAATGATAGATAAATCATGTGACATTTACTCCTCCTAATACATCATTAGATTGTTAGGGTTTTGATAGTCATACTTGGACACTTTTCTCCTTCACTGAAAACATCAGTTTCCAAGTGTCAATATTCTAGGAGGCTTAAATTTATTGGTACTTTTCACCTTCAACAATATTTGTTGTAAGGTTCAGTGAGGTCTGAAAAAGAATTCCATTGACAACTACTAGCCCATCAGACTTATTTGATAGATTTCCATTCTAGAGGTCTGGTTATTCAAGTACCAAACAAAACAGGAAAAGGGTGAAGCTAAGAAAGTAAGAAAGGAGGGTTGAACAAAGTTTTACCTAGAGAGCATGACAAAGGCTAGTAGACTTTTAATGATGAAAAGAAAAAAAAAAAGAAAAATATGTAATAGGATTAAGTAATATAGTAAAAAAGTAAGGGTTCTGGAGTCATATATGTTGATATTTGAATCCCAGTTCTGGTACTTCCCAGCTATGTGATGTTGGGCATGTTATTTCTGAGCATCAATTGCTTTATCTGTAAATGGGGATAAAAATACTTGCCTTCTGAGGTTGTAATGATAATTACATTGTTTAATTTATCTGTAGATATGAGGGTTTTGCTCATACTTTGAATTTACCAAATATTAACACTTATTATAAAAGTGTGATAAGATTTATCTGAATTAGTCAATAGGTATTTGTTTCATATATAGCAATAATGCTTAGAGCTTTGTGCAAAAGGAAAAAAAAAATGCATGAGACCCACCTATCCCTGAAATGAACCTACTAGTCTTAAGAAAGGTAAATGCAGATACATACTGTATACAACTTGTTTTCAAGTCAGACTGACTGTGTTCAAAGTTTAGCTCTGCTAATTACTTGTGGGTGACCTTGAACAAGTTACATTTCCTCTCTGATCCTCACATTTCTCATCTACAAAGTAAGCTTAATAATAAAAATACCTATACCTCATAGTGTTGTTATATAGTATTGAATAAGATAATGTATTAAAAGCATTTAGTACTCAGTCTGAAACATCCTTGTTGTCATATATTATGATTATTTTTTCATTCAAATCATCAGAGATTCAATAACTTTGGTTTCATGATTTTTAAAAATAATATTAAAAGTTTCTGTTTATAAACTTTCTAGTAAAAGAAGTGCAATACTGTCATGGGAAAAGTTATAGAAGTTTACTGAGTACATAAAAAATGTCCTAAATAAATATAAAGGCATGCCATTTTCATGAATGAGAAGACTTAATAAGTATTGACGGCAGTGCCTCTTCAATTAATCTATAATTCAATGCAATTCCAAAGTCCCAATAAAGTTTTTCATTGAGATTAATAAGCTGATCCTTAAATTCATAGAAAAGAATAAGTGGTGAAAAAATAGCCAAGGCAATTCAAGAAAAAAAAATGAGAGGACTTGATCATCCATATTTACCATGCAGCTGGCATAATAAAACAATGTGGAATAGACACATAGACAGACAAGTAGAACAAAGGAATAGGATGGAGAGCCTAGAAATAACCCACATGTAATAGGGGAGTTTATATTCATTAGAGGTAGAATAACAAATCTTAGGGGAAAATGTGAAATAAATAGTGCTTGGTCAACTGACATCCATGTGCAGAAAGACAAATTAGATTCCCACCTCTAGAAATTTTATGTCAAATGGATTATGGATATAAATATGAAAAGCATGATTATAAACTTTTGGAAGAAAAATGAGAGGTTATGTTTATCATACTAGGGCTAAGAATTTGCTAAATAATATAAATAAGCACACAACATTGAGGAAAAGACCAACTGACCAAATTAAAAGTACCATATCTTTAAATAATAAAAAGCAACAAAAGTGAAAAGGCCAAAGACTAGGAAAAAATATTTGTAATCCTACAGCAAAAGATAAGTATATATAAAGAACTATACTAGATCAATAAGAAAAAGGAGGCAAACAATTCAAACAGGAGGCAAAGGATATCACTTGGCAGATCATGAGCTGAAAACCTTAATGCCTAATAAACACAAGGCACAAAACCACATGAATTATCAGGAAAATATAAAAGACAAATGAAATAACCATTTCACATTCATCACAATGGCCAACTAAGTCTCATAACACCAAATGCTAGTGGAGGTGTAAATGAATACAGCCACTTTGGAAAGCAATCTGGAATTTTTGATTAGAGGTGAAGAGACATGCACCCCATGACTCAGCAATTCCTACTCAAGTGAAACTCTCATACATGTCTGCCTCATGAGGTACATATAAGGATGTTCCTTACAGAGGTATTTGTAATAGGAAAAGCTGAAAATAACCTGTTTCTCAATAGGGGGATGGATAAATTGTGGTTTATTCATACAAAGTAATACTTTACAGCAGCAGTTGACAACAGATAAACCTACATATGGGTAAATAAGTATTTGCATCATTTAAAAACATAGATATGATTTTATATCTATGGTTTAATATCTATGTATTATAGATATGTATAATGAAAACATATATAGTATTTATACATATATATTGTAAAAGCACTCAAAAAATGGTTATTTTGAGAGGCGGGCATGGGGTTTCAACTCTGTTAACATTTTATTTCTTTAAAGAGAGGGAAACAGGGAAGGAGGGACGGAATCAGTCCATGTAATGCAATATGACAAATGTTAGGCTATAAAGAGTGTGTAAAGTCAGGTTTGTGGTTATACAGGTCTCTTTTAGGTTATTTTCTATTTTTGTTTGTATAAGTTTTCATAATTAAAAATTTTTAGGGGGGCCTGGGTGGCTTAGTCGGTTAAGCGTCTGACTTTCACTTAGGTCATGATCTCGCGGTTCTTGGGTTCGAGCCCCGCGTCGGGCTCTGTGCTGACTGCCAGCTCAGAGCCTGGAGCCTGTTTCAGTCTGTGACTCCCTCTCTCTCTGACCCTCCCCTGCTCACGCTGTCTCTCTCTCTCTCCTAGAAATAAATAAAACATTAAAAAAATTTTTTTTAAATTACCACCATCACCCCACAAACAAAATAAAACAAAATTCCACCCACTCTATGTGTCCATTCATTAAATCCATGTGAAGATTTCTTAATTCTCTCCTTGCCTTTGAGGATGGCACTCCTCTACTCAACCACAAGGACATTTCAGTGAGGCCATCTAGTGTGACTCAGCAATCTTTACCTTCCTTGAGTTTTCTACTTTTCAATGTTCAAACAGTTTAGTATTTGCCTTTTACAAAATCTTCTCTCTTAGGCCTAGGGTAGCAATTTAAACTTGCTACCTCACTCCATTTTCTGAACACTAACTTCTTTTTAGTCTCCAACGTGAAATGCATATTCAATGGATAGAATATGACCCTATTAGTAACTTTTTACTTGAGGGCTTCAATGTTGATGTTTAAATCTCAAGAGAAGACAGAAAAATATGTACACAAAACAACATACCTGGATATGAAAATACAGGCAGACACACGGCATCTTTATAATCCTAGCAATTTGTTCTACCACATGCAAACCTACCTTTAAGATAAGTTAATTCATCAGTATTGCTGATACTCAGTAAGTTGGCTCCTTGATTCTGACATGAAACATAAGCTTCCTTCCAAGAAAGAGCTGCCAGAGTATTAAATTGGTAGCAACTTCCAATCTGCTCATTCTTTTCCCAGTTAGCTTCACAGCCATTTTCTGTGGACAAAGAGATATGTTAGTGATTATAAAGTACGGGCTTACCAATACTGCAGTTCAACTACCATATTCTTAGGATACACAAGTTTATTGTTCAACTGACCATGTTTTGATTCTTTAGTTACAGAAAGAAATTTTGAAGTCATAGGAACCAAATGACTCTGGCTGATTAAAGCATCTACTCTCCTATCCTCTACTTTCTCATTATCCCCTATCAAATACAATGCCACATTTTACACACAATTATACACACAATTACAATGCCTGCCTGCCCTCTGCCTAAATATAGGAGTCTTCAACTGTGTTCATGTTGTTAAACTCTTGAGCTGATGGAAAATAAGCTCACTTGAAGACAGTGGCAGACTGCAGGGGGGTTTGCCACAGCCTGCAGTGAAACTCCTGTGTGTATGTGTGTGTACAGACATGCTGTTTAAATGCCCTTAATGTAGAACCCTAGTGACTACCTTACTTTAAAAACTCAGCCTAAGTTTCTCCTTAATGTTTTAACAGAGGATTTAATATATGACATATAATTAATATTGAATAATCAATATTACATATGTATATGTCCACATATGTGTACATATGTATACAGACATACATGTTCATTGTATAATGTGCATATTATTTCCTTCAACAAATATCTACTGGTGCCCAGGTGGCTCAGTCAGTTAAGTGTCCAATTCCTGACTTTGGCTCAGGTCATGATCTCATGATTTGTGAGATTAAGCCCTGAGCTGGGATCCACACTGACAGCATAGAGCCTGCATGGGATTCTTTCTCCTCCTCTCTCTGCCCCTCCCCCTGCTTTCTCTCTCTCTTTTTCTCTCAAAATAAATAAACATTAAACAAACCAAATACTGAAAAAGCAGTTACAATTTCAGACAAAGACCCCTCAAATTGTTTCTTAGATGGGATACATAGATCTTTTTTTTTTTTTAATGTTTTATTTATTTTTAGGAGAGAGAGAGACAGCGTGAGCAGGGGAGGGTCAGAGAGAGAGGGAGTCACAGGCTGAAACAGGCTCCAGGCTCTGAGCTGGCAGTCAGCACAGAGCCCGACGCGGGGCTCGAACCCACGAACCGCGAGATCATGACCTAAGCGAAAGTCGGACGCTTAACCAACTAAGCCACCCAGGCGCCCCTGGGATACATAGATCTTGATATAACTGGTTCAAAAACATAGTTAGAGACCCCCATGTACTCTCTAGAAGAGGAAACCTGACATAGACTATTTCACGTGTGTCCCAAGCTCCACTCTGGGAGGTTTTGCAAAGAGCTTCCCATCATTAGTCACATATCACATGTTAGACTCATGGCCTTTCAAGTTGGAAGGGGTCTCCGAGGCCATTTTGTCTAGTGCTCTCATTTCACAGATGGGAACAAAGATCTAGAGGTGCTTGTGGCAGAGCTGTCATCAGAGCACTGGTCTCTAAATCTAGTCTTGTTGGTCTTTTAAACAGCATACACTGCTTCTTCAGCCACTTTTGAATGGCCTAAATAGCAATACAGGTTTTTACAACATTTGGTGAAAACAAAATAGGTAGATTTGCAAGTACATTGCCTAAAGTTTCCTTATTGCCACTGGAGCCTTATGCCTGTAAATCCAGAAGCTTGCAGGGGGGTGGCAGTAAGTCTGCTATAAAATACAATCTACATGGTTTAGCAATCCTCAGCTTTGAGAAACTCACAGTCTTCCTTCTTCCCTAAAAAGAACTCTGAGAGGTATATGAATGCATTAATACTCCCCATTCTTATCCCACCACCCACTGGGTGGTGAGACCCACCCAGTGATGACGCTGATACTCATGAGAGTCAAGGAAGCAAGGCAGAGTGAGATAAATATGCTAGAGAATGAAGTCAGAAATCCTGGAATCTCCACCAGACGCCATATGAATGTGGTCTGATTCTGACAGGCCATGTCATCAATCTGGGTCTGCCGCCCCTTACCTGAGATTTGAGGGTTTGCACTGGATAAGCTCCCTTTCACATCTAAAATTTCTGATCCAGACTATAGCGAGGTTTAAATGAAATCAGTTCCTAGTTGATGAAACTCTGCCTCATATCAGTTATAGTTGAAGCAAATATTGGCTTTTAACTTTTAGTAGGTTCTGGGTGTTGAAAATCCTGTGCCTCTACCTAGAACAGTAGTTCTTAAAGGGTGGTCCTCAGACCATCATCATCTGAGAACTCATTGAACTGTGAATTCTTGGGACCCACGCCAAAGCTACCAAATTATAATTTCTGAAGGTTGGCCTCAGAAATCTTTGTACTAACAAACTTTCCAAGTGATTCTGCTGCAGTATAACCTCTTTGATCAGGATAAGCTCTTCTAGTTGATTAGAACTTTTCATTTTGAAACTCAGCTTCCCTAAAGAGGGATCAGCATTACTAATACTTACAGATTGGCTACTGAATGGGGCATGATATTAGAGTTATTTGGGGCAAGGACTTCAGAACTGGGTTTCCTAGAGTTGAATCCTAACCCTGAAATGTATTAGTTATGTAACCTTAGGCAAGTGCTATAACTCCCCTGTGCCTCACTTTGGTCATCTGTGAAATGGGGATTAATAAGATTAATAGTGCTGCCTACCTTATAAGATTGTGTAAAGACTGAATGAGTTGATATAGTTTGAGTGCTAAAAATCGTATCATACTTGGCAAGAGCCTATAAGTATTAACTATTATTACCTAGGTCTGGAGCTGTTTTCTTTCACCTTATTATACATTCTTCCAAACTACTGACCACTTAAAAATATTTGTGGAGCACTTATCATGTCAGGTATTGTGATCACCTGTAACTCTCACCGGACTTGTGAGAAAATATATCAGTTATATGCCAGATAGTGATGCAACTACTAAAGTTGGTTTCTCTCTCTTTCTAAAGAACGGTGAATTTTTTAGCATGTCCTGAATAGTTTGCTTCTAGTAAGAAGCAATTAGAAAAAATGCTCTACTCAACTTATAGAAGCAGCAGAAGGAACAGTGTCACCAATTTTGAGAGGACCAGGGATATGGGTCTCTTTGGTCCCCTACTCTTTGCTTCAGGCCATAAATACACTTAAGTCTCTATCATCTTAAAAGTGTTTCTTTAACCTACCTACCCCACAAACCACCATCATTGCTCTTTTTCTATTCCATAAACCTTAAGAGGCTTTCTCTCCTATTCACAATTCAGTCCACTATAACCTAACTTCTATGACCAATGGTCTTTTGAAACTGCTCTAATAAAGGTCAGCAGCAATTTCCTAACTGCTCATGCCTTTTCCACTTCCTCTTCCTGAGGTATCTTTGCTATAGAACATTCCCTCCTTCTTTGTCTTCCATGATAACATCCTGTCTTGGTTCTTTTCTTGGCCTATCCCTGAAAGCAAGCTCATAGTTACACATTACTTCCTCTTCTTTCCTTAAAAATATACTTCTTCTCTAGGATAATATTTGTTGCAGTCATTTGTGAGTTATCTTGGACTCTTCTTTCTCCCTTTAGCTTCACAGAAATGGTATCCATTTTCTCTCTATATATAAAGTCCGTTAGCCCATACATACCTGGAATTAGGCAGATGCCCCACTTCTGATCATATTCATAGTTTAAGGTGGTTGCACACCATGGCCCACCATGATTTACATCAAGAATGCACTCATGATGCCAGGTCCCGTTAACTAAGAATGGAAATTCACAAGGTCTGCCAAAGGAGTTCCCGTCTCTGGTATATATCTCTGTGGTGTGGGGAGGAAGTAGAGGAAAGGAAAGTTAAAAACTGGATAATTACCTTCAGTTAACTAATTCCTAAATTTTCTGTGAAAGAAAGATTGTTGTTTGCACTTAAGAGAATAGAGCATCAGGGTGCCTGGGTGGCTCAGCGGATTAAGCATTTGACTCTTGATATTGACTCAGGTTGTGATCTCAGTTATGAGACTGACCTCAAGCCCAGCATTGGGCTCTGTGCTGAGTATGGAGCTTGCTTGGGATTCTCTCTCTCCCACTCTCTCTGCCTTTCCTCTACTTGTGTGATTGCTCCCTCTCTCTCTCAAAATAAATAAACTTTAAAATAATAAATAATAAAAAAAGAGAATACAGTATCTAAGTAGGCTATACAGTGTGGAAATTCAGAGCATGGATGCTGACTGTTCAGACCTGGACTTGAATGCTGGCTCCCCCACTAACCAACTGTGTGGCTGTGGGAAGCTCTCCAACTTCTATTAGCCTCAGTTTCTCTATTTACAAGTTAGGAATAATAGTATCTAGCTCATAGGTTTATTCAAAATGATTCAATGAGATAATCCATGTAAACTTCATTTGTTATGGTGTGGTAAAGAGCTAAATGATCCTGGCTTGATCCAGCAGGGATCAACTACTGTGGGTGGCAGAGTACTTCACAGAAGAGAACCCCTGCCTGAGACTAAATTTGCATTTTTAATTATTTTATTTAGTAAGAGTGGGGCCAGAAAAATCACTGAGGGTGGGTGGGTACTTTGGAACCAGTTGTGTTTAGGCAGATGGACACATAGCCCCATTGTCACAGACTGGTGGTAGAACTAAGGTTGTGGGTTTTGAGAAAGTGGGAGAAAGAACAGCTGGATCTTTGAGATGGTTCTTGGAAAAGAGCAGGGCATGGTAATTCAGGTTATAAAGGAAGAACCAGCTTCGTCTGGGCAGTCATGGGAACAGCTGATGGCCAGAGAGATAGTAGAACTAGCTTTTCATTTTTTTTTTTTAAATTTAAATTCAAGTCAGTTAACATATATAGTGTAGTCTTGCCTTTAGGGGTAGAGCCCAGTGATTCATCTCTTACATATGACACCCAGTGCTCATCCTAAAAAGTGTCCTCCTTAATGCCCATCACCATTTAGCCCATCCCTTCCCCCACCTCCCCTCCAGCAACCTTCAGTTTGTTCTCTGTATTTAAAAGTCTCTTATGGTTTGCCTCCTTCTCTGTTTTTATCTTATTTTTCCTCCCTTACCCCTATGTTCATCTGTTGAGTTTCATTTTAATAACTTGCCCTGGTCCATGGAGAGGAACTGAAATTATTCCAACCACAAATATGTCTGGAAATACTAAAGAAAGTGCTCAATATTTATGTGGATAACAGTTCTTTTGGAAAGGGGTTTTTTCATAGAACAGCTAACTGTGTAATTATTTTGGTCACCTTTTTCCATATCCTTAATTTGTTTAAAACCAAGGTCATTAGCAGATCAAATAATGGCTACCAGGTAAAGCGTAATAGTCAGATCTTACCACCCCTTACCAGGCTATTAGGGTCCATCAAAATGTCTCACAGATTTGCCTAAAAGTGTATTTAAGATATTATTTGATTCCACATCCTTTATCATTCTCAAATATTCAGTTAACTGAAGTATGTTTAGAGTTTAGAATCTATTAATAGCAGTAGTACAGAAAAAAGTAAGAATAATCCAAATGCTTTTATTTGCAAACAATCTTTTAAGGAACACTGGTTTTAATTTTCCTCTGATAAAAATGATTTTGGACAGGATACTTCTGTTAAAGAGTAATTTGACCTTATACTTTATAAGGAACCTGCTTATTACCTACATTCTATTTTTAATGATACTAAAGCTCCCAATAGCTCATGACAACTTCTCTTCCAATATCATAACACTTAAAATGACTCCCTGAGCACAGCGACTATTACTTGTAGAGCCATCAGATTCTTCCTAAAAAATCCTGTGTTTCTGTAATACAGAGTGCTCTCACATACATTTCCTTTACTTGCTCTTTATCATAAACCTATGAGATCGATAGGGCAAGTGTTACACTTTTTTGTGAAACCTCCATTTTTGCAATGTAGTTAAATAAAACATTTAGTAAACTATTAGTGACAGGAATGAGAATTGGCTCTCTCATTAGAGTCCTTGACATGTTAAGGACAACTTGTGACTTTAATGGCTGCCTTCTCAGGTTTTAAGTCCTGTTTCATAGCTTAAAGCTGGGTTTCAATTAAAAAACTCTCCTATTCACAATATTCTTTGAAGAATGATAAGCATATAACAACAACCACATTAGTAGCAGTTAAATTATGCCAACTATTCATGAAGTATTTTATTCTCACACATTTTTCACTGAGCTGGACCTCTTAAATCCCATGGGTTTCCCTAGAGAGACAGTCTTTTCCTGAGAAGAATCTTCTCTGAATGTGTGAATTTATGATGATAACACTCGTAAAACAACAGCTTACTCTGAACTAGGTACAAATTAGTGAGCTGAATCCCTTACATGGAAAACTAACATTAATTTCTTCAGCAACATGAGGCAAAATAGCTTCAGTGGTTAAAAAGTTTGGCAGGCTCCCAAGACTTGCTCAAAATTCAGACAGCTCTCCACGAAATTCAATTTCCTCTTTATTCACCAAATACACAAAATTTGAAGGCTGCTAGTAAGCTCAAGATATCTTAATGATATACCTGTATATCTGGAGACTGGTCAAAGGCTACTCATTCATAGAATTTATACAACTAAAGTTTTCTCTGAGATGAACATGACTCCCATGGAATGGGGGTTGGAAAGGAAGGCAACCCAGGAAACAATTACAAATAATTTTTCTTATATTAGAAATAAAAGCATTTATATTGCAAATACAAGGGAGAAATAAAAAAGCTGTATTTGGGGAATTCAGTCATGGTGTTGAGTGTAGCTTTGCTGTAACAAGTGGGGTAACCTTGGACTTCACTCTATTGGGGCTCTTAAGCCTTATCTTATCTTTCTTATCTCTATACAGCTAGACAAAAGGCAGGACAGAGACCAATATGAGGAGTCTGACAGAGTAGTCCCAGAGAAAGTCCTTAATTTAAGACAGTAGTCTCTAATCTAAGAACATAAAGGGACTATATAAATTCAAAAGTGTAAAATTTCCAGGACTTAATATGTGATTAAAATGAATGGTAAGAGAGGAAAGCAGGACAATTCTAGGGTAACTTGTAGATTTCTGATACACAACTTGGATGGTACCAATCACCTGGAAAGCAAAGGCGAAGAGAAGGCAGGTTTGACCCTGGCTTCTGCCTGAATCAAAACTTGAGGTATGTGATGATGAGTCAGAACTATGTGAGCCTTTTCTCAGAAATCTTTAATTCAGTGTTTCAAATATTGTATTTGGTAAGGTTAAGAAACACTTTATGCCTGTGGGCTCTTGCTGGTGGCACTGCTTAACTCTCTCTGGGGTGGTACCCCAAGCACAGGCCTCGTTCTCAGAAGAATATTACAAATGCATAAAATAAAACCCATAGGATTACAAAGAAAACCAGTTGGACTGAAACTAAGGTCTTTGGGGGACTTAAGGAATTTACAATTCAACTACATCTCTCAGAAGAATTAGGAGCAGGAGACAGAAAGAGCCCTACCAAAAAAAAATTATCTTGTCTGATCTTTAAACAAATTCAATGAAACAAATCAAATCCAATTCAAAAGGCAATTTGTGTCATTTCATGTTTTCTCTTAGCTGCCAAGTTGGAGAAATGCTTTCAAATTACAAAACTTAAACTTTCCATTAAGTGGTATCCAAATAGCAATTGCTTCTTAGGCTTAGGAGGAAGCTGGTTAGCAAAAACAGACTTGTTCAACAACTCAAGGATCGAGGATTTAAAAAAAAGAAAAACCCCATCTGTAATTCTCTAATATTTTCCCATAAGAGAAAAGAGTAGATCCTGACATCTCAGAAGCAGATGCATCTTCAGTAGGAAACAGAAACAGGTTACCACAGGAGAAAAATTTGTGTGTGTTACAGGAAGGATGGAAGGCCAAATTTAGCTTAAATGAACTTTAAGAGAAAAGAAAAATTGCTGTGAAGCTATGTAAATTTACAAAGAAGAGCAAAGGTGAGATAATAGTTAAGTCTTAGATAAGATAATTAAATATATATTTATATATAAATATTTGATGTAATTCAGAGCAAAATGATGAAAAAGATTTGCTTGGGTGATAACAAATTACATTTAGAGGTTTAAAAAATAAAGCTGCTCATTCTCACTTGGAAAGTTGTTATAATCCAGTTTCTAGATGCAGAACAAAGTTCATGATTAGCTCCCTCATAGGCAATATTCATATATAGTTGACCTTCCAATAACATGGGTTTGAACTACATGGGTCCACTTATATGCGGATTTTTTTCTGATAAATTATTTCTATTCCTTATGGTTTTTTTATTGTAAAGTTTATTTATTTATTTTGAGAGAGAGAAAGAGAGAGAGCATGAGTGGGAAAGGGGTAGAGAGAGTGAGAGAGAGAGAGAATCCCAAGCAGACTCTGACCTGGGGCTGGATCTCACTAACCATGAGATTATGACCTGAGCCAAAATCAAGAGTCAGATGCTTAACCCACTGAGCCACCCAGGAACCTCCCCTTATTATTTTCTTAATAGCATTTTCTTTTCTCTAGCTTACTTTATTGTAAGAATACATTATGTAATACATATACAAGATACATGTTAACTGTTTACATTGTCCTAAGGTTTCCAGTCAACAATAGGTTATTAGCAGTTAAGTTTCGGGTGAGTCAAATTTTTAACCTCATGGGGGTCAATGCTCCTAACTCCCACATTGTTCAAGGGTGAACTGTATTTTTGAAGGCAATTGAGAAAAAGTCCACTCTTAAAATGCCGAATCATAAACACAAACATCAAAGTGTGACCGCCATGCCAAAAATAAAAATAAACTCACACGAGGTCTTGAAATTTTTCCATTACATAAAAATCTGCTGACAAGGAGAAATACATTTTCTTTTTGTCCTTTTTCTTTCTTCTTTTTAAACTTAGAATAGGTTTGATTTTATTAGGTCATTTGAAGAATTTCCTGTTACTCTACCATTTCCTTTCCTCTGGAGTTCAGAATGTAATCATGGGAAATACATATGCTCAAGCATCAGAGAGATTTCAAATCCCAGGTTTAGTACAGAGTGACTGTGTGACCTCTGACAAGGCACCTAGCCTTTTCTAGCTGTACCTGTAAAATGGGAAAAATAACACCAACCTCACATAGGTTACTCAGTGTTACTGTACTGTCCTGGGATTGAATGCTAGCTCACTGCCCTTACCAATGCATTACTTTATTTGTGGTCAGTTGTCCGTGTTCAATGTCACGTTTACCAAGCACAACAACAAATAACTCAGAGTCCCTCTCCAATACTTACCATGGTAAGGTTGATCACAGAGGTTTTCCTCTGTGCCTCCTTTCTTCCAGACATCAGATGAATTTGTACTTGCTATAGCATGTCCATTCTTCAGAGCCAATCTGTACTGGGCAGCTCCATACAAAGAGTAGTGCTCACATTTCCACCACAGCATGGCACTGGAGTCACAGCTGAACATTCTCAAGGAATCTGTGGGTTTAGTAATATCTAGTCCAAGGCACTTCTGGGATTGCAAATGAAAGAGCCGATGCTGGGACACCCACTTCCATAACATGTCCCTACTTCCATCACAGTCTGTTGCTACTATCCAGTCATTCAGTGGCTTGATGCACTTGCCCACATTTTCATTGACAATGGTGAATGGATCATTGCCTGGGTCAAGACAGACAGTTAAAGAAGATATTTCAGGATTTTAAACCACGTGGTCAGTGTGTCTTGGCCCCTGCTTATTGAGGAGAGTCTGAGCACCCCTGGACTAATCCCACCCTCCAACGTCTATAAACTGCAATGCACTACACAAGGTCAGAGGACAGCAGAAGCCAGAGAGGCAGTATCGTGTGGGTTAAGAGCATAAGCCAGTGTGCCTTGTTCATAGTCTGCCTCTGCTATTTATTACCTGTGTGATCAGGGCAAGTTATTTAACACTATGCCTCAGTTTCCTCCTTTGTGAAATTGTACTTCATATGGTAGACATGAAGTTAAAATGAACTCATACACGAAAAGCACTTAAGAATAGAATGTATGTTTTTAATTGTTATTCCATGGAATACTCCTTATTTAATTAGATGAAGAAGTTCCTTAATTTTCATCTTCTTTATAGAGGTGGTCTACAATCAATGAAAAGTATCCTGAACCTATTCAGGACCACAGTTCTGTCTTGCTTACACTTTAGCTACTATGGCAGGGCAAATTATTACATGGCATGAACATGTCTCAGAAGAAATGGGGAGACTTCTGAGGGGACAGAAGTAGAAGAGTGGGATAGAGGGATGAGAGGAAATGAAGGTCTGGATTCTGAGGGTAGGAGGGACCACGATCAGCTATATCTTAGCACCTACAGGAATGTGATGGGAAGCCGTGGGGAGAGGTTGGGGGAATGCTGACTGTGTGGATCACCTACGGAGGCTGAGCCTGAGCTCCAGGAATCACCTGGGATTCAGAATTCAACAGCCAGTTTGAACACTGTTTGAACAGTGGGAAACTCCAAAGTAATAAGTGTAAGCTGAAGGCTAAAGGAGGGACTTTCCTGAACGTTTCCCTGGCAGTTTTGCATTAGTTGAGGAAGACTCAGTAATGACAAAAACTGAAGTTCTGTTAACTTGGTGGAATGGGACCTCAGAATAAAACTTAATTTGATTCTATGAAAATAAAGTAATGCATTGTTTCTTGCACACTTGAGCTTATGGAACAGGATTCATATCTGTTACAACAACTTACAGTTGAACAATTTAGCCAGTTCTTTTATACATTTTTTTTGAAGTTATAGCACAAAAGTTCATGTTGCTGACAGGAAACCTGAAATATCTTAGAGAAGGTTAAACAATCATTGTTAGTGAACCAAAAGGTTCAGCAGAAGGACCTGTAAATTTTTAGTTCTCAAAAGTCACTTTCATTTTGATGCCAGCTTCACAATCACTGATTTTACTAACACTTCATACCTTTTCTAATAATAATTCACAGGCTTTCAGAGTTAAAAATTCTTATACAAAGGACTTGAGGGGAAATTTCACCATATAAATAATAACTATAACATTAAGTCAAATTCCAGCTTGAACTTCAAACAGAATTTTTTGTTTTAAATAGCAGCAGTAGCAGCAACAAGAAAAGAAGAGGAACAACTACAAAATCCTGTAAAACATTACATTACTTCTGTTTTCAAATCTGTATTTTAAAATATTATGTAGGGCTGCAGCTAGGTGTCTTGGTCATAGCAACTTCCATCCCTCACCCTTCCTTCTTGGACATTTCTCTGCCATTCTCTGCTTTATGGACACCATCTGATAGAATAGTTAACAAAAGGAGAAAAACATACTGTCTTAGAAGATTACACTCACAATTTCTTCAAAGTCCTTCTCCTACATATTCAATATTGACTCAGGCCCATGAGGTATTTTTTTCCCTAACTATTCTCTCACTTCTCCAAAATAAACCTTGTATTCCAAAATATCAGGAGTTACTGCAGAAAAAAAAGGAGTCCGCTTCTACAGGAGAATAGGATGCCACCTCCATGGTGGAACCTTTCCCTCCCTTGCCCTCTGGTCTCACTGTTCTCTTTCTTAGACACTCTGCTCTGTGCCCTTTGATCCCAGATAGGTGAACTGGGCCAGCAGTAGCTTTGCTATCTTTGCAGTGTTTCAAAGATTTTTCAAGTTGCCTTTGCAGAATCCAAGAGATTAGCTATAGCTCTAAGCAGAGTAGAACAATGGAATAAAGAGTTAGGCGTGCTAGATTGAAGACCTACCTCTACTACTAGTTAACTGGGAAATGTTGGGGGAAGTCACTTAATCTCTCCAGGGTATTCGTATCTCCAAATGTAAGATGAAAGGAGAGAAGTTTAGGATACCTAAGCCACTTACAGTACAAATATTCTATGCTTCCACAAGATACGTTTTCCTACCCTTTCAGGTTTTACTGGTCTTTGCCAAGTTCATTGTATATTGTTCTTAAACAGATGTCCACAACTTTACTATGTCATGCTAATGCTAGTAGCATTTTAGGTCATTCTAATCGCATTAGTATCAGGTATGTGAACTTAAGTAACAGTGATACTTTATAAATACTCTTTGGAAGTGAAAAAAAATTATCCTTTCCCATTTACTGTATGTTTTACTTCTGGGACACTTATAGACTGAACAAGTTTGGAACAACTCTGAAAGACTACAGGAGAGGTGTGGAATGGCATGGAAAAGCTATGTAAAAGAGGAATTGCCAAGCTTCCTACCTAATTGTAAATATCTATGATCATAAATACTTGCCTCATTCTAATCTGTCTTTTAACTAAGTAGTTATAATCAATGTTTAACATCTATAGTGGTCCCTTAGCACAGACATTAATTATTGATATGATTTAAGGAAAGTTGCCATTAGCTTTCTTACATAATGTATGTGTAAGCATTCATACATAATATATACAGTAGGGAGAATCTTCTCATGATGTTTTCCCATATCTTTCCTTACCCTTCGTAGAAGCTGTTCAGTCTGCCTCAATTTTGTGACCCTACTGGATGGCAGACTGAAGCGTGGGAAGGACTGAGGAAGTGTGAAAATAATTCCTTATTTATGAAATTTGTTAAATAAGGGTAACTGAATAAAATATTTCATAAATTTATTACACTTTGAAAAGCTAATTGCAGAGCAACTTATAAAATAGATTCTTTATTGACAACCTTATGTTGCATCTTGTCCATGTTACCTTATAATATATCCTAAATGGAATTTTAATGTTTACTTCCACATACAATATTTGGGCAAGTCTAAAAGGCAGAGGTTGATGAAAATAAGTCTCATCATCCCTAGTAGCATTTTTATATGCTTTATTTTATATAAATATTCTAGTGGTATCTGAGAGGAAATGGCAAAATAGCATTAGCATATATTGAAAATGAATTTTTAGTATTCCAAATTCATCAAAGGAAAACTATCTCCTATTGCCTAATCATTAGGTTAACTCTTATCTTACCTAAATAAAAGAGGTTTGCACATTTCAAAGAAAAGCTGGACATCAACATTTTATAATCACAGACAAATGGAGAGGGAGATAGAGGCAAGAAGGATGAAGACTGCAGTATTTTTAGTTTCAGGGGAACTTCTAGAGCCCACAATGTTAAGCATTTCATGGAGTCACCACCATGTATACAGACTGTACAGGTTGAGTAGGAAAGAATCAGAAGTTTGGGCTTGCCAGTTCAAAAACAGGTCCTGAAGTAACCTGAAGTGACAATCTAGTAGGAGTCAGGAAGTCATGGCATTCTGGTTAGGTGGTATGGGCTGGTGCGAACCTCAGAAGTCCCAGAAGGATTGGTTTACTTCAAGCTATTAGCTCTCCAAGAAGGCCAAAAAGTAAACCAAGCAATTGGAATTTCCACAGGGACCCAGAGGAACTCTTTCAGCACCTGAGCAACCCAGGCCTCCTGCACAAACCTAGCTGCATACATGTGACAGAATGCATGCCATTACCAGCATCGTGAAGCTGACACACTGCCAGACAAATTACTCAAATGGCTGGGGTTTCAAAATTCCAGCGCTTCCCTTAACGGGCCCACAAGTCTGGTCTGAGGGTGTGTGTAAGAGGACCAGAGCAGCTGCTAACGGTGAGGAAGGATTCAGGAAATCAAGTAACTGCCAGGACCTTAGTGCAGGGAGAATGGAGTTAAGCTGATGCTCTCTGCTTTGGGATGATGAGAAAGGCCAGGAGTTGCAGAGATTGCCAAAAATTAAGGAAATCTTGAGTTCTGTGGGGGAGACAAAACAGGTAAGACTAAAGCAGAAGTAGATGGAAACCATCTAGCCTTCACACACACCAAGGTTAGTGTGTTTTGACTGTAGTTAGTCATGACAGTGAAATTTTTCTCCCTGGATTGTGGGCAGGTGAAATAGAATTCTCACATGCAGTAAAGGACTTTTGGCAGTTTCCAACAGGAAGGGTCAAACAAGAATGGAGAAGTGTGAATCAGATCAGCATTCACTAAAAGGTCCTTGATGTAGTGTGATGTCACTCACGCTCTGGGAAATTTCTTATCATCTGAAGAAAGTCTAAATCTGGCAGTAACTTAGTTTAGCTATTACAAGAAAATAAGAACCACAAGCAACCTATGTTTTCAAAAACGTTCTTGCTCATCTTTTACTTCCTCATACAGGCAAGTTAACAGAAGTGGGAGGTGGTGACGGCCCACTGACCACCCGCTATGCAGCGCGACTAAGAAAGTCTTCGTGGCAAGGCAAAAAGAAAGTAAAAGCAAGCTCCGATTGCTGCCAGGGGGCATGGTGAGGCTGGCACTACCCAGAGCATCAGCGAAGGGAGTCTATTCCTGGTCCTGGTTCCTCAGTTAGAGGCAGGAAGGAGGTCTCTGGGCAAGCGACCTGCGCTCCAACGTGGGACTGTCAGCCTTGCTGGGGTGTTTTGGAGGTAATAAGCCAGTTAGAGGCTCAAGGCTTTCGGGGAGGGCATCACAACGAAGTTATGATCGTGGTCACCTTAGGAGACATGGTTTAACCTGACTTCCTTTTGGACGTGCACGTTGGCGAAGGTGCAGCGAAGTTGGGGAATCATTAATCATCCTGGGCGTTGTGAGTAGAAAGGTCCTCTAGACACTGAGTGGCCAAGGTGCCCAAGAGGCGAAGGAGGGGCGAGACCCACTGGTTCGGGTGTGGGGGTTGCTGAAGAGCCCTTTACTCCAAGGAAGCAAGATTTTAGAGGCGACAGGATGAGGAAGGGGCGGCGGACCCGCACAGAAAAGGTGATGCGCCTTCCATAAGGTGGACTCTTCTCCCTCAGCACTAGAAAGGCCGTGCCCCACCCCCTCACTCCTCCCCGCCAGTCTCCAGGTGCCCGGGGGCCGGGGAGCTGCTTCTACCTCAGACCTCCTTTCGGCTCACTTGTTCGGCTCCGGACCCCCGAAGAAAACAGAGGTGACGAGACCGGGAGCGCAAGTCCTAACCCCAACCGAGGAAAGTCGGCAGACCTGACAACATCCAGCGCCTTGGCCGCCGGAGGCCTGGCGCTCCCGCCGTTACCTGCGTGGCCAGAGGGCTCCGCCACCCCGAAGCACCTGAGGAGGAGCACGAGGAGCTCCGCGGCGCGGCGAAGGGTCGCCCGGCGCGTCCTCATCCTGAGTCGCCCCCTAGGAGTCCAGCCTGGTCCTCGGGCGCACACGGGACCCACCCCTCCCGCTGCGCCCAGCTGGCCCAGCCGGCACTTTTGCCTCCAGCCTCAGGGCAACCCCGGCCCCGCCCCCTCCACCCTCGGCCAATCAGGCGGGGCGGGGCGGGGCAAGGGCGTGGAATCGTTGGCGGGAAGACTAAGAGCTCAGTTACTGCGCGCCTCCCAGCTACCAAGACGCCAGGAGACTGGAAGCGAGCGTGCAGCTAAAAATGCAGGGTGTCGCGCAGACTACCGGGCTTGGGGGTCCTCTTCTTCAGAAAAGTTGAGGAGACGCGGCACTTGCTGGGACTGGCAACTCCCTGGTGTGCGGGTTGCGTTCGTTTAGGACTTTGTTCTTTGCCTAGCGCACCTGTCTGGGAGGACCTCTTGATTGCCGGCTGGGCTGGAAAGGCACCCACATCCTCTCATACCCCAAAGGCGGAAATCTGCACCCGTAGTGTTGCTGCGGTGATCAAACCAAAGAATTCAGGTGTCCTTGGTTGCGTCTTGTGTATTTGGATAGTGCAAACAAAGGCGATGTAATCGCACTCTACGGTTTAACCCGCAATTGTTAAAGAATGAAAAGCAGGAGCTATTTGAGTGAAACTGCAACCAATACCTCCAACGATTTAGTCTTATAACCGTCTGATCTTTGCAAGTAAGCTCTTCTCTTAAAAATTAAATAATAATAATAATCCAGTAGAAATGTGGAAGTCTGCACCCCAAACCAGCAATGTGAGAGTAATATTTATCCTCTCCCAGTGGGAACTGCAATCATTATAAATAGGCTGACCTAAGTTGCCTGGATGTGAATGTCCTATATTTTCAAACCCCATAAAAACACATGGTGTGTACCCAGAAACACAGAAACACCTTTATTCCTGTCCTCCAAGAGTGAATTCTTTCAGAAGGAGAGGAACATCTAGGTTGCCTTTCCTATTTCAACTGCAAGGCTTTGCTGAGGGCTCCTAACCTTGGATCTGGTCTCTCCTCAGACTTGAGCCTTCAGTTCAGTAAGTATATTGAGCACTTGCCATAATGAGGAGGGGCACCTCCCAAGGTAAGATAAAAAAACAAAATCCCTGTGGGCTCAAGCTTACTGAGTACTGGGGGAGACTGAGGCACCCACAGTTAACTTAGGGCAGAATGAATGGGGAGACAGGACACAGCTTCAAGGAAGATAACACCTCAACTGGGCCTTGGGTAGTCGGTAGGAATTTGACCACGCATAGCTGGTTGGAGAAAAATAGTAACAGAATGGCAGGGCAATTGCAAAGCAGGGCCAGAAGACGGCAGTCCGGTATGACTGCCCTGCTGGGTGCATATGTGTGTGTTGAAAGCAGTTGTGGTAGAGGCCTAAGTGAAAATGACAGCAGAGAGGTAAGCTGTGGCAGTTTCATGAAGTGCTTTGAATATGATGTCAAAAACTTTGACCTGATTCTCTAGAACTGAGCAATTGAAGGTTCTGAGTAAGACTGTCTGCTACTGCTCTCCTTCCCTCTGCAGTGTGGTTGCTTGCCTTTCTGATCCTGCCCAACTTGGAGCTACTTGACACCTGTGCTCTTACTTTCTCATTATTACCTTCCTACACTGAGCATCAGGCCTGACCCAGAGTAAGCTCTCAAAATAAAAATTAGTTTACTTAGTAAATGAATTCCTAGAGTCACATCTTAGCATAGGGCCATATGAACTCCTGCTTGCATTATGTTGCAGTAGTTTCTCAATTGACCTCCCTACCAACAATTGTCCTCTCAGACAAATGAATCTTAAACACTGTTTGGAACATATGACCTTTCTTCTGCTCACATCCTTTCAGTGATAAGTGGGAGTTCAGGAGGACCATGAACCCCTGAAATTATATACAGTTTTATGAATGCACTTAAAATTTTTTTTTGAGAAAGAGCAGAGGTCCAGGGCTTTCCTGAGACTCTCAAAGAAGCCTGTAATACAAAAAGAAAATTCATCTAAGATAAAGCAAGCCCATCTATGATCTGACACTTTATCTTTAATTACCTCCCTATGTCACTCCTTGGTTCAGTCAACCTGTCTGAATCTGTCTTGCCTTTTCCTATCTCTGCCCATACATCCTTATTTTCTCCAATGTAGAATGCCTCCTTTCCTTCTCCCTTGGTTTAGTTCTACCCTCCAGTTAGGGCTATGCTCAAATCTCACATTGTATATAAAATGTTTCCAAGAAGGACCCTAACCCTCCGGGATTCCAAACATCTGGATAATGTACATTCTGTTCACTTAGCATTTAACATGTGGTGCCTCTTGCTATTTGAATAATCCCCCCATCTGTGGTTTTGCTTTCTGTAGTTTCAGTTACCTCAATTAACCACAGTGCATATGATGCTTCTGATGATACTTCTTCTGATGTGTGGGCAGAAGTAACCCAACAGTAACCCAAAGCTGCTACATCACTACATCATTTGGCTCATTTCATCTCATCATGTAGGCATCTTACAATCTCACATTATCACTAGGAGGATGAGTATAGTACAATATTTTGAAAAAGAGAGAAAGAAGAGAAATGTAACTTCACATAACTTTTATTGCAGCATATTGTTACAATTGTTCTGTTTTTATTAGTTACTGTTATTAATCTCTTACTGTATCAAATTTATAGATTAAGCTTTATGATGGGTATGTATGTATAGGAAAAACATAGTGTATATAGAGGTTGATACCATCCATGGTTTCAGGCATCCACTAGGGATCTTGGAACATATTCCCCATGGATAAGAGGGAGGGGCTACTATATTTTTTTCTTAGTTACACATGCACTAATACACCATCTAGGTTATATGTCTTAAATAACTATTGTCTATGGTGTCAATAGAAAGCAATGTACCCTTCAAATCTCATCCGGAATATCACATCTTCAAAGAAATCTTTCTTGATTCTGCAGTCTAGGTCAATTTCCTCTGTGATTGGTTCTTAGTACATCCCACACTTTGTCTTGATAGCATTTAGCATAGGTGGACTAAACAATTTTTTACTTGCTCACTTGCTGAATGTCTATCTCCATTTTAGTCTGCAGGACTCATAAAGGTGGTGACTATGTCTGTTTAGACACATCTATGTTCCCAGTACCTGTCCATGGTTTGCTGGATGAATGACTGAATAAATATACGGTAAGTGCCTCATAAAGAATGAATGAATAAATAAATATATGCTAAATGTCTCATAATTTGCTGGATAAATAAATAAATACATGGTAAATGTGCAGGCACAGTAGGTTTAGGCATTTAAAAAAGGAAGAAATCAGCTGGGCTGGATGGATGGGAGGGTCTTCAGGCACCAAGGTGAATGTCCTTTGATGAGTAACATTCAGTAGATAGAGGTGGTGGGAGGACGCTTCATTGCTGAGGCAATGATATGAGCAAAATCACAGACATCTGCCACCCACTGGGTGCCAGACCATTGTGCTGAACATTTCCAATGTGCTCATCTTTTTTTGGCACATCTTTTTTGCTCAAAATTATCCCTGTGATAGGGGCTCTGGGGTGGCTCACTAGTTTAGGCAACCAAGTCTTGATTTTGGATCAGGTCATGATCTCGTGGTTTGTGAGATCAAGTGGAGCCTGATTGGGATTCTCTCTCTTCTTTCTCCTCCTCCCCCTACATTCCCCCACAATAAGTAAATAAACTTTAAAAAAGATTATGTGATATTCATCTGTATTGATGTGTGTAGCTATAATTTATTCATTTTTATGTGATATTCCATTATAAGAATAAAGCACACTTTATCCATTCTCTTGGTGGTGACAACATCGGAGTAGGTTCAGCTGGGTAGTTTGCTGCACTTAGCAATGCTTTGTGAACATTGCTGTCCATGTCTCCTGGTGCACATGGCTAGATTTTCCTGAGAGTGTGTTCTTAGCAGTGGCATTCCTGGAGCACAGGGCATGTTCAGTATCCACATTATTAGACAATGCCTATGTGCTTTCCAGTTTGCACTCCTGGCTGTATGTACAAACATTCCTCCTGCTGAACATCTTCAACATATGGCATATTAACATTTTTGGTGGTAAGTGAAATGGTATGGTATGGCTTAAAGTCTCATTTTTCTGATTACTAATGCAGTTGAACATATTTTCCTATGTTTATTGGTTATTTGTATTTCCTTTTCCAATTCATATACAGGTTATATGCCTGTTTGCTCTTAGATCCATTCCCTGCACTCCCCTGCTTTGAACCTCCAGGGCCTACTCTGCATTCTCAGTCTCCCTTTCTCACTGCCTTCTGGTTAGGTTCAGCCAATGGGAGTAATCGGTAGGAAGTGGAAGTTTGGGAGGGGTAGAATCCAAGGTTTTTCCTCTCCTCTCTGCTTTGGGAACATGCCAAACAGTGGCTATGTCTCTTCTGTGGTTTTGGGTCCTGTCTGGAAGCCCCACCCTTTGTGGTCCAGTTCCTACCAGGCAACTGTGTTGTGTTTCCAGCATGTTTAAGTGGTTCCTTCTCTAAGGGTCTAGCTCCCACAGGGTAGCCTGGGCTCTTATTTGGATAACACTAGTCCTTCTTTGTTCCTCAGGTACCAGGGATAGTAGTAGCTTCTTGTAATTGCCACTTTCTGGGCAGCCTCATTGGCACTTATTTTTAGCTCTTTTAACATCTCTGTAACTAGTTATTTCCCTATATTAAATTTCTTCTATTGAATTACTTAGCATAAATTTTTGTTCTTCTTACTGGACCTGGATGATACTGATGCCACATGTGAAAGAACTGTACCTGAGACAGTATTCAAAATTGAGTAAGATGTGAACAACAACAACAACAACAACAACAAACTACAAATGGAGCATATTCAACTGCATGAGGAGTCATGGCATAAAGAAAGCCAGTGTGGGATGCATTTAAACTACAGTTTTGATGATGCCCACAGATGGTCCCAGGTGTAGTAAGGAGGACTCAGGAGGCCCAAGTGAGGGCTTGGTCTAAGAATAAATTTTAAACAATTCCCACAACACTGTGATAATAAAGATCTGCATTTATTCCTGGTTATAACTAAACTC